TCGAAATCCTCACCAAATTAGTTCCAAGTGACACGATTTGAGGCTAAAATATGACGAATTCAGTAGAATTTATAACAATCTTAACAACCTATATACAAAGCTGGTCAAGCAATTTCAATGTCTTTAGCACGACCATGGCATAATATGAAAAAACAACAGGAACCCACAAACCTTTTCCATGTCTTAAAACTTGGCTAAGGTTGAAGGATGTTCCCCCAAATGAAGAGAAATGAAAGAACGGACTTCTTTCGGTTTAGAGCGTTCAAGAAACACTAATGGAGCTTCACAACAATTCACAACTGAACACACATCGACATCAATGAAGAATCGGTCAATCTTGAAGATGAACAACCACTTCTTTGACTGTCAGGAAGAAATATAGCACAAAAAGCGGCTTCCGGTTCGGGTTAAAAAAATCAGGTTCAACGTTATCGAATATTTTGGAGAAAATTTTTTATCAACATTCCTATCCGAATCTTTGACCAAAACTAGTGAACCTTTTATAGGGGACTATTTAAAAAAGATTGAAATTACAAAGGCATAAAACAAATTTTGAAAAACATCATAACTAGAAACATTTTGTAAAACCAAGGTGTATAATCGGAAAATTTAAATCAGCTATGTGTGTGCTTGAAATTAGTTCACGAATTTGGAGCAAAATGGCATGGACCCAATCCGCTATCTGCCACTAAAAGTCTTTGAGTATTTTATCACAATCTTGGATGTGGAAATATTGGGCGGTCTTCATTATAAACCTTGGACTGCATCTACCTTAAAAATAACCATACCTTATTCATCTATACCTGTTAGGCTATTCTCTATCAGCCTATATCTATACTCCGTTCAAATGGCAAGCTCATCAAACGCTCCTCCTCCTTTTGCTTCAGCACCAATACAAGACCTTGACTACTTGTACGCATCAATTGCCAACATTTCGAACTTTGTTTCTGTGAAACTTTCCAGTGACGGCAACTACCATCTATGGAAGACACAAATGCTTTGTCTCATGAATAGTCACAATATGGTTGGCCTCGTGGATCACACAATTGTCGGTCCAAGAATTCAAAGCAATTTGATTCTGGGCCAATATAATAGTCTTCTCAAAGGTTGGATCTTTGCTTCGGTTAACGAAAATGTACTTGACGCTGTGGTTGATCTCAAATCCGCCAAAGAAGTTTGGGACAAATTGAAATCCTTCTATGATTCAACTACGGGTCCTCATCAAGGTATCTACTTAAATAAATTTAAATAAATGAATTTTTTTTTGTCACTTGTTATATTCTTATTTAATTTGTCAAATATTATTTTGTGGTTATTTTGGATTAATTTCTTTTCCACATGACATTTTATAGGTTTTTCTATTTTATTAAATTCCATATAATATTTTTATATAATAATATATCAATTTCATTAATCAACTTACCTTTTAATTTCAAAATTATCAAAATTAAAGCTTATTTGTTTATTTTGTTTGTTTATTTAAATTACTTGTTTAAATTTAAAAGATAAAAAATCTTTTCATTATAATAATTCATTATTATTATCATTGTTTTATAAATTCAAAGTTTTTAAATATTTTGAATTTTAAATTTAACTTTTTTTTTAAATTAACTCATTTAATATATAGGTCTCACAACTAGTGTTTTTATAAATGATAATCCACAAGGAAGTCCAACATTTCAACAATCGCAAGATAATTGTATCTTCATTTTCTTAATCGATCAAATTTTGAGCTATAAATCTCGTATCTCTCACTTGTAATATATATATATATATATATATATATATATATATATATATATATATATATATATATATATATATATATATATATATATATATATATATATATATATATATATATGATTAGTTTTTTTATTAAAAATTAAAATTAAGTTAAAGTTTATATTCAATTATATGTTTTAAAATTTTTCATAGTAATATACTCTAATATATTCATATATTTTATACTTTTTTTTTTCGTAATTATTAATTTTTTTCATATTATTTATTAATTTTTTTGTTATTTTAATTTTTTGTATTTTTAATTTTATCTTTTCAAAAAGATTAAAATACATGAATATATTATAGTATATTATAATTTTGGTATTTGAGTTTTTTTTTTTTGGTTTTCTATTTTTTTTATAATTTTGGTAATTTGTGGTTTTCCTAGTTTTTATATTTTGATTCAAGTAAATAAAACTGTTATATTTATATTGGTAATTTCCGTCCAAAGTTTTTGCTTTATTCTTTTTTTTATTTAGTGACTATTATATTTATGTTACGACCAATTAAAATTAAAAAATCAAACATTTTGCTTATTGAGAATGAATGTTTCAATGTGCAGCATTTGCGATTTGTAATTATTAAAATTGGAATAGGAGGTAAAAAATTTAAAATGTAACTTGCAAATAAAATCTTATTTCTATATGTGATATCAAAAGTTCAAAATTCAAAATAATATTTTTAATTTGATAATAGACTAAAATAAAGAATTAAAAATTAACAAGGGTCAGATCTAGGAACCTAATTATCATAGCCGGCCGAGAGCATGTGCGGGAGGTGTAGCCACATAAGACCCCGAAAAATATTAGGCCTCAATTTTGAACAAAATTATGTAGTTAATATACAATATATACTATTCCATGTAAAACTTAATAAAATTGTTTGCTAGTATAAATGGAAAGAAAGCGTAACTTCGAATCTTTTTCCGCCCTTACTGTTTTGTGTTCGAGCTTTGTACACCTCACAAACCTTTTTCACTTTTATATTTTTTGTTTATTTCCAACCATACCATTACTAATTATTGTTATACCACGCTGTAATAAAAATATATATATATATATATATATATATATATATATATATATATATATATATATATATATATATATATATATATATATATAGGGTTAGGTTCATTTGAGACCACCTATATTTTGTAAGACCGTGAGACGCATTTTTTTTATTTTTTTTTTATTATTTTTTAGTTAACTCATGTTCCGAAAATAATATTTAAAAAAAGAATTTTTTGATTTTTCCATTTATTTTGCATTTTAAAATTATTTTTAGAATATGTACAGTGTAATATTCTATTTAGAATATTTCACGTATTTTTAAAAAAAAATAGAATTTTTTTTATTTATTTTTTTAATTTTTTTTAGTTAATTCAAGTTCCGAAAATAATATTTAAAAAAAGAATTTTTAGATTTTCCATTTATTTTGCACTTTAAAATTATTTTTTAGAATATGTCAGTGTAATATTCTATTTAGAATATTTCACGTATTATTAAAAAAAACAGAATTTTTTTTATTTATTTTTTATATTTTTTATATTTTTTTTAGTTAAATCAAGTTCCGAAAATAATATTTAAAAAAAAAAGAATTTTTGGATTTTTCCATTTATTTTGCATTTTAAAATTATTTTTAGATTTGGTCTCACGGTCTCACAAAATTAGAATGATCTCAAATGAACCTGAACCTATATATATATATATTATATATATTATATATATATATATATATATAATATATTATATATATATAATATATATATATATATATAATATATATATATATTCTCACTTCTATATCATCATTCTGCAATTTGTTCCATATTAAATTTATACAACGACAAATATACTCAATTAAGCAACATAAGAATGAAAAAAAAACATTAAAAGATGATAAAATTAAAAGAATATCTGTCGATTAACACAATTAAATGAAATTAAGTTAAAAACAGAAAAAATGAAACCTATTATTATTTAATTATATCCCAAATTGATTCCTAAATGAGTTCACTTTTCACAAGAAAATAGTCAACCTTAGTTGTCAAAAAAAGTCAATATCTAGTCATTATTTTAAATTGCTGGTCCATTTTCACCTGGTTAAGATAATCACAAGAAAAACTCAAATTACAAAAATAAAAATCATTAACTAACGCTATTAACCATAGTATCTTATTTTTCCAAACAAAAATTATAAGTTGTTAGATCATAAATATAATATAGCCCAATCAACAACCGATTGATAACACTTCATCTCATACACAGCCAAAGAAAATGTGTGAAAGTCCAAAGCTCGAATAGAAATAAAATAAAGAATATAAGAAGCTATAACTTATAGCAACTATAAACTACATTGTTATTTTTTACAATTAGCTAAAAAACAAAGTGGTTAATTTGAAAGTAAAAAGGTGTAATGAACAACTGAATGAGAGTACGTATATTGGTATTTCTTGCAATAATAGCCTTATTATTTCTCGATAATATTTTTTATTGCATCTGTTATGAACATAGGGGAAAAATGGTTATTTCGATAAAATTTACAACAAGGCTGTTAAATCTGAAGATGCATGGGTCCAAAAACAAAATGAATGAATGGAATTTTGACTCAAAAAAGAATCCTTAATTTATGCAAACTTATAATATCCACCCTCACTTCTGGAATCTGCATCCTCCTATTTTAACAGAAAGTAAAAGTTAATAAAACAAAATTTCATTCTAATTATAAATTATATATTTAAGAAAAAAAAAGCATGCATTACCACTTAAATCCAATATCTGAAGCTTCGAAGCAGCTTCAAACCCATCTGATGGAATCTACAAATCAAGGAGAATGAGATAACAAACAAAAAATGACTGATATACCCTTTAATAAAAAATGTTCAATATACCCTCCAGTTTACCTGTGTAACTGGATTAGTCTCAAGTTTTAAACACAGAAGATGTTGAAGTGACTTCAAGATTGCATTTGACAACACTTTAATCTTGTTCCTTGATAAAATCAAAGTCTGCAAGAACGATAATTGTTTAATAATTAATTACCATAATGCCACTGATATTTTCAAGATTAGATTAAAAATGGACGATTTAACCTCGAGGGAAGTACATGAACAACGTTCAACATGTAGATCTTCAATTGAGTTTCTTGAAAGATCAACTTTTATGATGTCACTTGTTTCCCATACTTGTGGTGAAACAACACTTATCCCATGCCCTTCTAAAGAAATTTCCTGAAATTGGTTTATTTTTTTAAATTACTTTTTCACATTTTGTCCAAAATTATTCAAGTTATTTAATAATATATTTGGATGAGAAAAGTAAGTAAATATAACCACCTTATTTTAGACAAATTTGACTCATAACCTTTTAATTACAAAACTTAATGAATTATATTATGAGACAATTATAACCAAAATATATTATGTTGTTAAAATCTTGTAGAGAGTGAACATAAACCACTAGAAAACTTCTGACTATTTAAGGTCAAGCTGCAGAGGTCTAACCCTATAATAAGACTATATTGCCCTCGAAACACATGACTTGTTCCTAAGTGACACAATCACTTTATTTCTAACAAAACCAAACAGGTCAACAAACTAAAGTCAAAGTCTTTTAGTCAACTCTTACCCTTCTTGTGTATGTAAACCTTAGATAAGATAGTTAGATTTATAAAACATTTTATAATATATCATATATTAATATCAATTTGATTTATAACAAGATATTACAAGTAAAAAATATCATAGTTAATTCCTCCCTAATAAATAAATAACTTTTTGCCACTTGTCATTTCTTATACATTTGGACACATGCAATTTTGCGATTAATTCTTAAAAATTAATTTTCACTTGTCATTTTGTGGTAATTTTTTATTTTCTTAACTAACTATCTAAATTTTAGGTTATAAAAAGTAATTAATGTGACATTAATTTGTTTCCTTATATTTTCAAATTTTAATATGTTTCCTTCAATATATATAATTCAAAATTGATATGTTTCTTTTAAAGTTCATTATCATTTTATACAAAATGGTCTATATAAAAAAAATAACCAAACTTTGTTGGTTTTTTTTTGACAAACTAAAAAAATATTATATGGTCAAAATATATTTATTTTTCTATAGTTTGTTTTATTAATATAAATTGAATTATTTATTTATTCATCATTTTGTTTGTATATATATTTTGAAATTTTATTTTAAAAAAAATCTTAATGTTTACACTTTGATATTTAATGTTTTCTTTTAAAAGAATATTTAAAGTTTATATCTTCATATATAATTTTCTTTAACCAACCCGTGTATTATACTAGTTTCACACCTATTATCATTATATAATCAAGTGAATCAACAAACTAAAAATACATATCATTCGAACTTATAAAAGGACCAAATCTAATAAATAATCAATATTAAATATGGTGCAAATGAATAGCGGGTTACCTACTTCAGCAGGAAGTCTACTTC